ATTTGTCTTGAGATTCTGGTGAAGGAAATTGTTGCCTTTTTTAAATTGTTCCTTCAGTCTGGATACTCAGACCCAGCGGAATCTTTTTAGATGAAGATTTTCAGGGTAGGCACCTGTAACTAGCGGTGTGCCACAGGGATCAGTGCTGGGCCGCAGTTATTTACATAAACGTTATTGACTTGGATGAAAAGAAGGTGGCGAATCTGTGGAATTCCTTACTGTAGAGGGTTCTCGAGGCTAGAACTTAAGTATATTCAAGGTTGAGATAGATTTTTAATCAGTAAGGGACTCTGGTTATATGGAAAAAACAGGAAAGTGGACATGACAATTAATATGTCAGCCATGATCTTGTTGAATGACGGAATAGACTTGATTAGCTGAATGCCCGACTTCTGCTCCTACATCTTTGCGGTGTATGGTGAAAGAGTCAACAAGTGTGTTATGTTAATATGCTAAAAGGACATGGGAGATAGAAGAGGAGTGGGTTTACAGTGGGGAAAGAATGAAAGTGTCTGAGCAATTCAAGAATGTATCAGAAATTGAGCATTCTAAAGTTGACCCTCCAGTTGTCAGATCAAATAATAAAGTTGAAAAGTTAGATCTGATATTATGCTATTTCCCAGAAACTATTGAGGTGATTTATGAAAGCTTTGCAGGTTCTTAAATGAATAAAATCAAGGCCAGAAAAAATGTCTTTTGCTATACATGATGTTGATGTAAGAGATGTGCCACCACAGAAGGGACATCCTTCCAGAGAATCCAGAAGAGGTAGCCCAAGTCAAGGAAGAGCTCAAATTCATGCTGGAAAATGACATTTTCGAACTGAATCACAGTTGTTGGAGCTCTCAAATTATCATTGCAACCCATCTGGTTTCAGTACAATCATAATGGCAAGATTATTGCAAAGTTAATGCGGTACAAAGGTGGATTCATTAGAAAACTGTATTGAGAGGATTAGACAAGAAAGTTTTGTTGGAAAAGGTGATTTATTGAAGGCAAGTTCCATCAATTAAAGAAATATTAGCCTTTGATAAAGTCCATCCAGGATTATAATGTAAAGTCATGACATTTGGAATGGAAGTATGCACTATCCACTTTTCAAAGTTTAACCAACATGGTCATTGAAGGATTAAGCGATAGTGCTATCTACTTTGTTGATTTGGTAGGTATTAACAGCACACTTACTACTACAAAGAGCCAATTTTGGTTATAAACTTGACAAAACCTAAATTTACCAAAACAAAACAAAAACACATTTGGCTGTACAGTGGGGCAAGGTCGTTAGCATTCAGAGCAACAAAAATACAGTAATCCTGCATTTATCTAGTGCTGAAGAGAAATCAAGTGATTTTGCCATATATGGGGGGGGAGGGGGGTGTACAATAGATTTTATTCAGAGTTTGTTCCAAACAGCAACACTAGTGCCTTTCCTGATAAGCATTTCAGCTATGGAGAGAGGCTGGATAAGCTTGGGTTTTCTTTGGAGCAGAAAAAGTTGAGGGGGGCTTCTGATTGAAGTGTATAAGATTATAAGGGGCATGGACAGGGTGGATAGAAAGTAGCTGTTCCCCTTAGTCAAAAGACCAATAACAAAGAAGCATAAATTTAAAGTGAAAGGCAGGAGATTTAGAGGGAATTTGAGGAAAACCATTGTCACCCAGAAGGTGGTGGGGGTTATGGAAAGCACTGCCTGGGAGGGTAGTTGAGTTGGGAATCATCATAACTGTTAAAACATACTTGGATGAGCACTTGAAGTATCCATAACATTATAAGGCTATGGGCCTAGTGTGGGACAGTGAGGCTGGAGTAAGTAATGGTGTATTTTTGGTGGTAGAAACTTGATGGGCTGAAGGGTCTTTTCTGTACTGTGCACATCTTGCTGCACGAGATTTGAATAGACAAAGAACAGTCAGCGTACCTCTGATAGCTTGAAAGCTGACCAGTTTTAAAAACACTGAATTATGTTAAGCTATTTAAACTGGCTATTGATATCATTGATAGCTTTTTTTTCTATTTGTTCATGGGATATAGGCCCCACTGGCTAGGCCAGCATTTATTGCCCTTCTCTAATTGCCTGGAGAGTAGTCAAAAGTCAGTTACGTTTGTGTAGGTGATGAGACGCCTGGAGGCCAGCCCAAATAACGGTAATGGATTTCCTTCCCTGATAGACATTAATGAATCAGATCTTATGACCATGACAGTGATTTCGCAGTAGCCGTTAAGCCTGCTTTTTATTTCAGATTCTTATTCAAATCACATTTCACAATTTACCATTCCAACTTACGTCCCCAGAATATTAGCCTGCGGTTCTGCATTCCTAGTTCAGTGATGTTATCGCTCTACCAACACCTCCCAGGACAGGTTTCACTTCAACCCCGATCTCTGGCCTAATGTTGCTGAGCGCTGAGATCCCATATTTAATTCACACTTTGTCATTTTCCACGGTGGGATTTGATCCTACATCCCTAGAAAATTACCAGGTATACCAGGCTGGTTCCTGGGATAGCATGACTAACTTATGAAGAGAGACTAGATGAGTTAGAACTATATTCACCGAAGTTTAGAAGAATGAGGGGGGTATCGCATAGGAACCTATAAAATTATAAGACTAGGCAGGGTAAATGCAGGAAAGATGTTTCCAATTACCAAGGAGCCCAGAAGCACGGGTCACTGTCTACAGATACTGTGTAGACCATTGGGACTGAGAGGAGGAGAAATTTCACCTGGAGAGTGGCGAGTCTGTGGAATTATTTGCCACAGAAAGCAGTTGAGGCCAAAGCATTTAATGTTTTCAAGAACGCAGTAGATTCATTTCTTAGGGCTAAAGGAATCAAAAAGTATGGGGAGAAAGCAAGAACAGGGGACCAAGTTGGAAGATCAACTGTGATTAAATTGAATGGTGGAGAGCGCTCAAAGGGTCAATGGTCTACTCTTGCTCCTATTTTCTATGTTTCTATTAGCCTGAAATTATTTTTAACCAACCTGTGTGGACAAGTTATGACACACCTCCGAGGCAGGTGCAGTGGGAGGAACACACCATAGTCCCTCAAAATATTTGTCAGTAGGAAACCAGTTAAGCTGTGCCAGCTTCAGCAAGAAGCATTGGCGTACCGATGGAAAATCGCTGAGGTTTCGATTGGAACGACACCCCTTCTTGCAATTAGATGTTTTATAGCTTTATAAACTCGGCATTGAGTTCAGAAACGTCCAGCTATAATATTAGTCCCACTTTTGTTTATTTTGCCTTTGTCAGTTTTTTTTTCTTTCTTGTCAGTATAGTTTTAATCAATTTTAAGGAAGAAAACAACAGGCACCTTGACATTATGCTCTAAAAACTGAAAGAGATGCACACACAGTTATAAAAGTATGAATAGAGAAAGGATAAACAAGCAATCCAAACGAATTTATTGACGACTGAACTGCAACTGCTTGATTTGTGCCTCCTTTTCTAATGGTACATTACTTAACCTGCTAAACATTTGAAACATTGTTGACGGTAATGCTATTTTACTTTAAATTCACACAGCCTTATTTGGGTATGAATAGCAGTAAGAATAGTTTCAATAAATTGCAAAAACAAGATAAATGTTTTGTAATCTGTTTTCTCCCTTGTGGGAGATAATGATTCCTCATGATGTGATGTCATTAACACCTGCACAGGGGGCAACTAGGGACAGCCATTGTCTCATGTCCCAAAAGTGAATAAAGAACTTCCCCATTATTTTGCTTTTGTTTTTAATCAGCTGATCCTTAATTCTTCATTTGTACCTCCTGATTCACCTTTTATTTTCTCTCAGCCTATTACCACTCCCTTCGTTTTTGCACCACTGAATCTCTTCACATCTTGTCTCTCTCTTGTCTTCCACCAATTGTAGACCGTCCCTTTTACACTTATACCTCCCCATGTTCACCTACATGAAACTTATTATATCTCTAATCTTTCCCAGTTTTGATAAAATACCATTAACCTGGATTTTGCTGAACCTACTGAATATTTCCAGCATTTTCTGTTTTTATTTCACATTTCCAGCACCTGTAGAATTTCACTTTTTGCATAAGTGTTTAAAACTCCAACAATCAAAACAGTTTTAGACTTGATTAACTCATCAGGACTATTTAAATAAGATGTTGTCTAGTTATCTTGCTCAAGTTCCAGTTCTTATGCAATAGTTACAATTAAGTGTAAAAAGATCCTTTATAACTATCAGCTTTGAAAGATACAAATATCCTTTCTATTATTGGGTTAATAATTTTGCTGGTTTTTGATCCGTGGAAATATGTTCCAGATTTTAGGCAGCTAGAATTTGTCACTTATTATTGGTTATGTGCCTGACTATATCACAAAATTGAGCTCAAGTTTGAGATGATGCAATATTTTTATTATCAAAAAAGTGCAGTTAAAGTGATATTGTATAGCTACAGCATTTTGAAGATTCAGACTAACTCTCCAGCCTTGCTGTTTTCTAAAACTAGGAAGAAAATGTTGGATGCACTCAGCTGAGTAGCCACTACGAGGAGAACAGACAATGCTTTGGCTTTAGCCATTAGATGTTGTCTGACCAGCTGAGTGCTTCAGAGTTTTTGATTTTGGTTTCATATTTACTGCATCCTCAGTATTTTCCTTCTTGTGCACCTTTTTGTACATGTCTCATTTGCATCTAGATATGGTTTGAAAGGTAATGATGGGTACATTGTAATTTATTCTTTTACTTCTACCCCAATCCCCAAGCTCCTATGACTTCTAGTAGCAGAAGTGCACACATGATTTAAATGTAACCAAAAAGTTCGTAAACATGCCAAAATGCCAATTATGTTTGAATTGTACCATACTCAAAAATATTTCCATTTGACAAAAAAACTGCTGTTTGAAATAAAGCTTATAAAAACCAAATACATGTTAAAAGTTGCAGTTAAAAAATGTGTTAAATAGTTAAAAGTTGTACATTGTTTTTGAAAATCCTGTTCATTCAGCACCATAATGGGCTGTTCTGCATTTTTAGTAATTGTCTACATGTTGTGGAGCCTATGCCAGTGCCAGGTCGGGATGTGGAGGCTTACTGTCTGCTGTGTGAGTGTAAATATGAAGAAAGAAGCACCACTACAATCAAGGTACAACTAAACCTTCTCTATAATCTCTGATTAATTCTGCTCACCCAACTCAAAGCACAGTCCACCAGCTCCATTAAGAAGGGCTATTGCCATGGTTATCCCTCTAAATGACTCATTTAGTGGTGTCTTGGAGCTGATTTGTAAAAGCAGCTTTGGATTTATTTCATATTCCTATTTCATGCTTAGAACTGTACAACATAGAGAGGGGCTATTTGGCCTATTCCATCCGAGCTGCCAATTAATCCCACTCTTCTAATTCTTATAGCCACCCAAGTTTCTCCTTTTCAACATTAGATATGCATTTGAAAAATACAATTCAATGTTTTGGCCCACATTTTTTGTGACAGCACATTCTAGCTCATCATAACTTGCTACATAAAAACAATTCCTTATTCTCCCAATGGTTTATTTTGGCAGTTCTCAGCTCAAAGGATAATAGTCCCAGAATTCTGTAGCGCTCCCTGCTTTTGGTTTGGTTAGTGAAACTGGGAAGAGAATTTAAATTAACTCAGCCACTGCAACTTGGTCACAGACATTAAAGAGATACCAGATTTAAAACTTCAGTCTGTGCTGGCTATGCTGACATATATAGTCAAAACAGAAGCCATGCTGCAATTGGCTTCCCCGTGAGAAAAGAAAATAGCGGGGGCTTCCTTCTCCAGGGAATTGTTCTGAGGCCCTTGCTGGAATTATGCTTGTGTAGGAATCAAGTAAGAAGACCACCAAACTCAGCTATGACTATTCCTGCAGTGAATAACCTATTAATGTTCATTTTGGAGTCATATACAGGCCCCAACAGGGTAGATACAGGGGAGATGTTTCCTCTGACTGGGATCAGAATAGAGGAAAGCCATTTATAGTTGAAATGAAGAAAGGTTTTTTTCACATGGAGGGTAGTAAATCTTTGGCATTCTCAACCTCCTAAGGGCTTTGAGAATATTCAAGACAGAGATTGATAGATGTCTAGCTATTAAAGATAGCATGGGATATGGGGATAGCACAAGAAATTGGCATTGAGGTTGGAGATCAGCCATGATCTAGTTGAATGGCAAACAGGCTTGATGTGCCAAATGGTATTCTGCTCCTGTTTCCTATGTTCTTTTGATTGCCAACCCTTGCTGTAAAAAGTAGGGAGAAAAAAGAACCATCCACAGTTCATTCGTACTGGGGATCGTGTATACAACCTTGCATATCTGTGCCATCTGATTCAGATGAATAATACTCCAAACTGCTGCTGTCCTCATTCTGAAGATTGTTTTTGAAAGGTCCAGAGTGACTCACTGGCTAACTGACAGACACAAAATTGAACTTAATGCTGAAAATATTGTGCAGCAATTGTTATTTAAAGCAGTCAATTTCTAATATGGGGTGCAATGGAAATGTAAGCAAATGTGGAGTTATTGATTATGAACAACTGAAGATGCATTTATTCTTTGTAAATCTTGATTTGACAGGTGACAATCATCATTTACCTTACTGTTGTTGGAGCTCTACTAGTGTATATGGCATTCCTGATGATCGTGGATCCACTTATCCGAAAGCCAGATTCATACATTCAGCCTCTGCACAATGAGGAAGACACTGAGGTATGGAAAGTGAACTATAAATCCATCTGGATTTATAGATATAAGGTGGGGGGGGCTGACAATTTTTTTATATGGTGTTTAATATGCAAACACAGGTTGAATTTATACTCTCCATTTAATATCAGTAAATCAGCCTTTTAACATAGAATGAGGTTTTTTTCTTTTAGTTCTCTTTCATGTTGCCCTTCATTGCTTCCCATTGGTTTTGAAACTGTTACAGATAATGACACTGCCTGTGATCATGTTTATTATTCAATGTTCCATCCATAAGTAGGAATTCCACTTAAAAAGGTGTGCAGAAATTTATATCAAAATGGAATTGGGTCAGAGTACAAAACCAAAACCTGGATACTCATGAGAGGTATAATCCAAGAATGTAGGATGAATGGCACAGTCCAGAGCTAATAGTGTTTTGGAATCTTGTTCCTAAATTTTATTGACAATCACTTAATAGATCAACAGACCACCTGTCCAGCTAGGTAGCAACAAAACAAAATTGAATGCTTTTTATTAACCAAATAACTATTCATTAAAAGTAAGCATGAAAGGAATTGAACTGGAGAAGAGATTCTTAGAAAGGGATTTGGGAATGTAGAGACATCTCACTGAGAGTATGCCTAGAACCATGGAGTACCAGTTTTCAGAGGTTACACTGTGGATATAAATGTGCACGTGTTATAAAGCCAATGTAATATTATTAATAATTGTTGTCTCACTCTACATTGATTGCTCAATACATCATTCGCCAATATAATGCTCATTACTCAGTACCGCGTTCTGCAATGCAATATTATTCATCGCTTCTGATGTCGAAAAGAGAGAATCTTATTACACTACCTTTTAAAAGTCTTGATATACTGCTTCAGGCCTTTCGGTTGGCCTGTTGAATTGGAAATCTATACTCTCAAAGCCATGAAGAAATGTAATGTACTGAAGATTCTAAAAAGGCCTCATTTGATTCATGGCCTGTATGCAGTTGACAATTGAAGCAGAGAATTGCGAATGGTCTCAATGCCTCCTTCTTGCCTGGTAGCTTCTACTGGAAACTACATTTGTGTGTTGTAGAATTTGGGGTTTCTTTACCAAATCTCTGAGCATAGTCAAAGTAGAAGAACGTCAGCGCTAATCACTTCCCAGTCACCAGCAGGATTAAGGAAATAAGGGAAAGACAAGATACTATGTTACTTGCAATACATCTGGCAGAAGTGTGGATTACTGGCTGCAAAGGATTAGGTCATATTATTGATTGTTGACTAGAAATGTTGCTTGAAAACATGCAGTAGTAGGGAGGAGAGGAAGATAGGATCCCACTCATCTGCCTTACCAACTCCACAATCTCTGCCACCAAGAAAGCTGAGATCATTAATGTGAAGAGAACAGCACCTCCTGCAGGATTCCCTGCAGGTCATTTGCCATCTTGATCTTGTTGTGCATCCTCATCTATTGGTCAAAAGAACTGAAATGTTTACTAAGTATCATTGGCATTGCTGGAGTCACTAAAGTCATTTAGAGAAGAACATCTGTCATCCTTATCTGGAATGGAATATGTGTGTTTCCAGTTCAACAGCCAAGTTGTTAACTCTTCAATGTCTGAGCAAGTCTCTCAGTTATATCAAACTGCTACAAAGTCTGTAAAAAGGAATGGAACTGTACAGAACACCTGGCACTAGCATTGCATCAGACGACAAAAACAAACCCAGCTCTGTCAACTTGCAGTGACCTACTTCCTAACATCTAGGGGCTTATACCAAAATTAGGAGAGCTGATATACAGATTTTTCGAGGAACAGCCTTACATAATCATTGTCTGTGAGGTAAAATTCTGTGATAATGTCCGAGACACCACCATCACAATCCCTGATTATATGTTGCCTCACCCACAGGACAGGCGCACCAGAGGTGGTGACGCAGTGGTGTACAGTCAGGAGAGAGTTGTCCTGGGGGTCTGCTACATCAACTCTGGACTCCATGAAATATTGGTTCAAACATTAACAGGGAAACAACCTCTCTGATGCCCACCCCCCAGATACCCTGACAGATGAATCAGTCCCCCCCCCCCCATGTTAAACACCAATTTGGGAAATAAAACACTAAGCATGGCAAGGGTACAGAATGTACTCTGTTTGGGGGACTTCAGTGCCCTTCACCAAGAGTGGCTCAGTAGCATCACTAACCATCAAATTAGTCGAGTCCTAAAGGACCTAGGTGATAGACTGGGTTTGCACATGGTGAGAGAACCAACAAAAAGGAGAAACATGCTTGACCTCATCCTCACCAATCTATCTCTCCTAGATGCATCTGCCCATGACACTAGTAGTAGGAATTTTAAAATTTTTTCCTGGGTTGTGGGTGTCACTGGCAAGGGCAGAATTTGTTACGCCTCCCTAATTGTCCATGAAGAGAGTAACTTGCTAGACCTTTTGGAGGATAGTTAAGAGTCAACCACATACTGTGAGATTTGAGTCACATCTAAGCCAGACCAGGTAAGAGTGACAGATTTCCTTCCCAGAAAGACTCGCCATCACTGAGACCACCACCTTTATGTTTCTGATTTATCAACCAAATTTACATTCCACCAATACTGTGATAGGATTTGGCACCTTTGTCCCCAGGCCATTAGTCTGGCACTCTGGATTACTAACTATTCCAGTGCCATCATCACTGTGTCACCATATGCAAATACACGGTACTTGTGAAAATGAAGTCTCCTCTTTATGTTCAGGATACTGTCCATTATGTTGTATGGCATTGCCACTGTGCTGAATGGAATAGAATTTGAACAGATCTAGCAATTCAGAAAAAGTACATGACGCACTGTGGGTCATCAGCAGTGAATTATGTCCACCAATCATCTGTAATCTCATGGCTTGGCATATCCTCCACTCTACCCCTACCATCAGCCAGGTGATCAACTCTGGTTCAGTGAAGGTTGCTAGGAACAGAACTGAGCATACCTGAAATTGAGATGTCAATCTGATAAAGCTGCAACACAGAACTACTAGCATGCCAAACAGCAGAAACAATACGCAGCAGACAGGGATAAGTGATCCTATAATAAGTGGATCAAGTCTAAACTCTGCGGTCCTGTGATATCCCGCTGTGAATGGTGGTGGAAAATTAAACAACTAATAACAGGAACAGGAGGCCCCAGAACTGACCACATTCACAATGATGGGGGACTCAGCACATCACTACAAAATAAAAACAGGGGTGAAGCATTTGCAACCATCTTCAGCCAGAAGTTCTGAATGGATGATGCCCAGCTTTACTGATGTCACTCTTTAACCAATTTGATTATTTTGATTTGATGTCAAGAATTAGCTGAAAGCACTGGATACTGCAAAAGTTATAGGCCTGACTACATTCTGCAACAGTACCAACAAAAAGTATTCCAGAATTAGCTGCACAAAGCTTTCTCAGTGCAGCTACAACTGGCATCTACCCAGCAATGTGCAAAATTGCCCAGGTGTCTCCTGTCCACAATAAGGGTGCAAAATCCAACCCAGCTGATTAGTTCCTACTGGTCTCACTCTGCAAAGTAAGGGCAGGAGTCTTTAACGGTACTGTCAAGTGGTGCCTGCTCCTTAATAACCTCCTCACTCAGTCTGAGTTCTGCCAGGATCATTCAGTTCCTGACCACACTAAAACTTCTGGCCAAATATAGACAAAAAAGCTGAATTCCAGAGCTTAGGGTGGCAGTGACTGCCCTTGACATCAAGACAGCGTTTGACTGGGCATGGCATCGTGGAGCCCCAGCAAACTTGGAATCTATGCAAATCGGGTGGAAAACTCTCCAGTGGTTGGAATCGTACTTACAGCAAAGGAAAATAGTTGTTGGAGGTTATTCGTCTCAGTCATAGGATGTCTGTTTCTGCAGGAGTTCCTCAGGCAGTGTCCAAGGCCCAACATTTTCAGCTGCATCGTCAATGACCTTCCCTCCATCATAAGGTCAGCTGTGAGGATGTTCACTGATGATTGCACAATATCCAACAGCATTTGTGGTTCCTCAGATACAATGAAGCCTTTGTTCATATGCAGCAAGATCTGGACAACTTCCAGGCTTGAGCTGATAAATGGCAAGAGTCAGCACTGTGATTTAACTTTTTAAGTTAAAGGTGGCACAGTGGCTCACTGTTTAGCACTGTGCCTCACAGCACCAGGGTCCCAGGTTCGATTCCACCCTCGGATGACTGTGTAGAGTTTGCACATTCTCCCTGTGTCCGCGTGGGTTTCCTCTGGGTGCTCCGGTTTCCTCCCAGGGTTCAAAGATGTGCAGGTTTGGTGGATTGGCCATGCAAAATTGCCCATCATAACCAGGAATGTGCAGGCTAGATGGGTTAACCATGAGATAAGATAGGGCAGTGGGCCTGGGTGGGATGCTCTTCAGCAGGTTGTTATTGACGTGATGGGCCGAATAGCCTGCTTCCACACTGTAGGGATTCTATGATTCTATAAAGTTTAATATATGATTTTGCATTGTGCATTTGGTAGTGAGGACCATAGCTATAGTTTTATTTTAGAGTTTTTTTGAGTGGTTTTTCGAAGTCTGGAAGTGTTTTGTTTCCATGAATTTTTAATAAATTATTACAATCCTTGAACTGAAGAGACAGATTTTAGTAGTTGATTGTATTTTTAAAAAACCTGTTCCCAATTGACGGGGTGCAAGGACACTGAGAGCAAGACAAAATCTATAGATCAGTCAACCATTGGGAAAAAAACTGAGTTTAGGGAACTCATGTTTTCTCTGAAGTTAAAGTAATGGTGAGCTTAGTTTGCAGTTAATTTTAGCTGTCTCAGGGAGAGATTCCAGCTGAAGGCAAAACCATGTAGTAAAAGTGCAGAAACTTACAGGAAGGAAGCCAGTTGAAGCTGTGCCAGCTGAGTAGGAGGGCTTGGTGTGGAGATGGGGATAGTGCTTCACTGTAGTATTTAGTGTTGTAAGGATGTTTCTGAGGTAAAGGAAATAGTTTGAATTTGAATTCCTTTCTGGTGTTTGTAATG